GGCCATGATCAGGATCAGACTTACAATTTTAACTTGTTGTATTGTTTTGAAATTACAGCTTTGCACCGCATGCTATCATTATTTGTAAGAATTTCTCTTGTGGTTTGAGATAAAATGACAGGTTTGGCCAGGACTCTTCACTCCCAACCGTTCTGTCTTTATTTGGAAAAGATGGAGGGAAATGACTTTCTTCCACATTACCAACTCAGCCCTTACACACATTTTAACAAAAGCCTGTGAGGATAATCCTGGTAATATAAAATGAATAACAAAATGGGTACTTCAACACTACAAAACAGCAATTAGGAATTAGACAATGTTACTTTTTTGACACACTGCAGTGTTTTGATTAACTTTTCGAGCAATGACAATAATAGTTGTAGATTGGTGGGGTACAGTTTCAAAATAAAAGATTTGTTCATGTAAAAAAGAACACTTTATTAGATCCTTGTAGCATGCTTTGTCAGGTGACTTCCTAACTCAAAAGAGAGCAACACAAGAACAGATCTGCCCTGATAGCTTGCTAATGGCGATAATAAGCTTGTTCTCCCAAAGGGCGCTATAGTTACACATCAAAGTCCTCCAAAATATCTAAACATGCAATTAGAATTCAAATACTGATAAGAGTGAGATTTAGTGTACAATAAAAAACTGACTTATGGATGTTGTCAAAGCTTCTGCCGGAGAGCCTGTGGTCTGCAAGAGAAACATTTTCCATAAACATGAGTGTGGGTTTGCCTTGGCTGCAGCATGTACTCTTCCTCTTCAGTGGGTGTGTAAATCTTTTCTGCCTGGTGTGCAGTGAATCTGTGTGTAGCCTTAAGCAGCGCTCCATGCCAACATGTTTATTTTTTTCCCTCCCCAACAACTTTGCGGTGCACAATCGTTTGGATGTTTCCCGTCTGTGTCAAGGGAGAGGCTCCGGGCCAACACAGAGATGGAATATGGAGTCATGCGCCAGTCAGACTAACGGCCCTGGCTACTTCCTGTGGCGCGGCACAGAGCGATGGGATTGGCCTCCACTCCACTTTACAGTATGATAATCTTTCTGTGTTGCATCAGGCTTCACTCGAGCACATTGGGGCAGATCTATCCTCTGTTTTCACTTAAATCTCCTCTGTTCTTTGTGCAAGTTTCCCCTCTTCTGTGCTTTTTTAACGTTCCTATCTTCCCTGCCTGTTCTTCAATATTTCTGCAATGTACCTTGAATCATAAGTGGATTTGAGGCAGCGGTTAATCAGTGGTTTATCATTTCAATGACCAGTGTTCATTTTGTGGGGAAATCTTCCTACAGCAAGGTCAATTTATAAAAAACGAATATTAAGACGGGCAAGGTTCTGAGACGGTTTTCAGCCAAAGAAACCAAAAGAGAAATCCAACCCGGGAGGATGAAAACATATTTCTGTTCTGGTTATGTGGGGACACCACCAGAAGGAAGCCTGTGACCCATCTGGTTTTCTGACCAAGGCGTGTAGTCCAGAATAAAACAGCTTTCATACAGAAGAATGACATGAGATGCTTATTACTGAACAGATTATTCCACATGCATTTATCCCCATTTATACAAGACTGTCGTCACTGTTCACTGACTCAAGGCATGTATATACAAAATATATATAAGGCCGCTTCCCTCTCTGTCGATTTGACCTTTTTTTCAAGACTAGTTGAGTAGTATCCTATGTAAATGTTGCAAAATTCAGTTTAAACATCACCCAATAAAAAAATAAAAAGTACTACTTTGGTGTATTGATTTCACATTACTGCAAAGGTCAGAAGGGTCATGAATTCAGGTTTAAAACAAGTGAAAACAAAAAATTACAAATGTAAAGAAAAGTTTGCGTTTGACTGACCTAACTTTTCGTTTTAGTTGGCGATCATGATGGGAGCAAAGTAAGTAGTCAAAAAGTAATACAGTGCAGCATCAGACCCGGGAGACGTGGGAGATCGCTGTTTCAAACCAACAGTCAAACATCTTTTCAACTTTATTTAATGCGGAAAATTCCATGACTATTTCACTCCTATTTAAGTGCATTGCTTTAATAATCTGCTGCCAGATGGAAACTGTTGTCATTTTATGGTGTTTGCCTTTCCTCCCCCTTAATAGCTGTGAGCAACAACACAACTGCATGGAAGCCCATCCACACACCCTCTTAGGAGAACATGAGTAAGGCTGGAGCCATACGGGAACGGTAACGCAAACAAACCAAATTCGATATAAAAAAAGTCTTCCGTCCACACGCAATAGGCACCAGAAACGTGTCCTTCCACGCGAGACCGCTCGACCCGCTGGAGACGCTGTAGCACATATGCCGGCCTGTAAGTGGCGCTGTGCTTCCGCGACAAAATACACCAAAAGCAGCGAAGAAGACTTCCGAGCATGGTTTCCATGGTTGCCCTTCTGTTTATTCTCCGCGATGGATGTAGCAGCAGAGGTGGGGAGAGGCAGGGCTCTTTTTCTCCGTCAGCATCAGCTGATCTCTAAACTCTCTCTCCTGTCCGATTAGACTTCACTCGCGTTTACGTCCATATCGATCAGATCTAGCTAGTTGTATTTCACACAGGCTCCGCCCTCTACTGGACTCTATGGGTACTACCCTTAACCATGCTCTGCGAGCATTCAGCAACATACTGAGTTGCATAAACGTAGCCGGCCAATCAGGGCGAATGCGCTCGGCGGCCACGCCTCCTGATCCTTTTTCTCTTCAGCGAGCGAGCAACAACTGATGCAGAGAAAGTAAAAAAGTTTGAAAGAAGAAGAAAGAAGTTATCATACCTTCATGGAGTCACCACTTCTAGAGACCCGGGCCGGTCCTTCGTGCCCTGACTTAATAGCGGGCGCCGATCCCCACCACCTCTGCTTCAAGTGTTTGGGGGACCAGAGTATGGCCGAGGCGGTGACTTTCACGTTCGCCATCCCAGCAGGGCGGATGGCTCCGTTTGCCGGGGAGGAGGATGACGAGGACTTCTCGTTGTTGGGCACTTCCGGGTCCGGCGTCCATGGAAGTCCACCGACAGGTCGATCCGCCAGGACTTCCCCCTGGTGATGGCCATGGCGGCGAAGCGTGGCAGCCCATCTGCTCCTAGCAGGCAGCAGGCTGGGCAGAGAACCTCTGCCCCGCTCGCATAGCATGATTAAGGGTATTACCCATAAAGTCCAGTAGAGAGCTCCGCCTGTGCTTATATAACCAGGGTTACAATATGTAACCCACCATTCTAGCTAATGATATGACTGCCTGAGTGTCAAAGGACACCTAAACAATAAGCGACATTTTGACCGGAGAATTTTTGATTTCGGCTAACGGAAACTCTACCGTGCGGGGTCTGCTGGAGGCTCCTGCTGGGTGCACTGTCCTGCGAGATACCAGGACCTGGCTCGAAACACTCGGAAAACTGTTGTTGTTATTGGCGAAACACATCAGCAATGACGCAGGTGACACGGGGGTGAGCAGGAGAGGTGGGGAGAGGCGGGGCTATTGCGTCATCAGAAAATGATCATATAGGGCGTAGGCACGGAGCCGTTTGGCCCCCCAGAGCGTTGTGTCCGCAGATCTACCCACCTTGGGACCCGTGTGTGTGTGCGTGCGTGTGTGTGTGTGTGTGCGGCCTCATGTGACCGAACCGTCTATAGATAGAGAACTGTAGCGATACGACCGTTACCGTTCTTGTGTGGCTCAGCCTGAAGTGGTTGCCCTCAATAGGTAGCAAATGCACCTGGCTATAACTTATCTGCAGTGTATTTTTTAGTTTTTTCCCCCCCCCAAACTCAAGTGTGGACCTGCAGCAAAGCCTTTGTCTTTTTTATGACCAGACTTTGGATAATTATGCGTCTTTTACAGTATAGTTTTCCAGTAAAAAGTTGCAAACAAAGAGCTTTGGGTGGGATCTGGAGGGCTGCCCTACGTCTCCTTGCAGTGTTGGGCCAATTCAAGGTGCATGAAAGAGAGGTACGTTATTTGGCTGGGTGTCTTGAGAAGCAGAATTTTGAAAGGAGATCAGAGGGGTTTTCCACATTGATGGTCCACTTTTGTTTTGATTGGACTTAAATTCCAGTCTTAGTGCCACTAACACGCTTTCCCTTTGTTGATGGCGCTGTGCAGTGGGACAAAGAGGCAACACAAAAGCGCTTCGCTAAGATAATAGTGGACTGCTGAGTTGAAGGTAATTTTACCATGATTTTGAATCCACATTATGCTGTATGTTACTGGCTTTAAAGCCGAAGGCTTCGCTAAATACAAACGTTCCCCAAATTATGACCGCTTCGGAATGGC